ATCCAAATATTTACATAATTCCCACAACAGACAAAACAATATTTTTTTTATCAATGAAAATTCAGTAATTCGATCGATTAAAATTTCTTTGGTCGAATGCAAGATGGAAAAAAAATTCAAGCAGCTATAATTATTTGGTCATGAAGTAAAGAGAGAATATGAGAATAACCGTTTAATTCCATTGAAACCGAAAACGAGAGAAATGAATGGGGAATTTGGTTAGTGGCGAGACGAAGCAATGGAATGAAGTAAATTTTTAAAATTGTCGTTGGTCATCTCACAGCCGCTATTGAAACGGTAACGACCGAAATATGCGGACAATAAATGATTTTAATAACCATAAGCAGTATATCGGTTTATGATGTCGCTTTTGTGTAGAGATCGCACTAACTTGAATAAAGAGTCAGCTCGTCTTTTTTTTCGCTGATTAAATACACAATATAGATTTAGAGACATACATGTAAATTTATTCAGTCGGTCTTTCATCGTGTACATTGTATATTTGAACTTGGTCATACACAGCGGCAAATTCTCTGTCATCTCACGCGTTATAAAGTAAATGCTATTGTTCTAAACGAGACAGCGACGGTATTTTCATGTTTCGGTTGTTATTCTTCGTTAAATTCCCTTTCGTTCGTCTATCGTCGTCTGTGTTTTTTTTCGTCATCTTTCTCTTGCACTGTCTATCTCTCTTTTTCTCGCTCATCACCCATTTTTGTCATCGTTATCTCGGTATTTACTTATTCCTTTGTTATATTTCAAGTCTATTTTATTCACATCAAGCGCAACAACTGAACAAAACAAACCAGAACATAGAAATGAGATGTATTCTCTCTGTACTTTTTCATCTTGTGTTTTGTATCGTGCGTATTTTGTTCTTTTTGAATTTCAATTTTAGCATTCGTTCAAAAGAAGAGAAAAACTAAGAAAAAAAAAACAATAAAAATGCTTCATTTTAATTTTTTCACTACACTGAAATGAGAACGTTTCAATGAGCAAAGCAAAGTAAAGCAAAGCCAAGTGAAAGCTTTGATATCAAACATCACGACATAATTTAAGACAAATGTATTGTTTGTTAGAATATAAATATATGTATATGGAAACAACGAACGACGATGACGACCACCAAAAAAATGACACATGTTTTGCACATAGCACATTAATAACGAAGCAAACCCGTTGCAGGCAATTATGTACATCAATATATCTCCAGACGAAAATGATTCACAAATGCTAAATTTGCAAAGCAACCGTCGAATCATTGAATCGCGTTTTTAAATGAAAGTCACAGTCTGAACCTACACATATTTCGAGACACTTTTCTACACTCAACTGGATATATTTTAATCATACTCATACCCATATCCATGACGATTACATAAAGCAAACACATAAAAACTCTCGCGCACATATATATTTCAATGTCGTCTCCTGTTTGCTGGACTCAACGCTGTTCTTAATCGGTCATTTCGGTTTAAATGCAAATCTCTTAACTGTTCATTTTTTTTATCTGCTTGAAATGAACGAATTCATTTTAATGCGGTGAGACCGTGCTATGTTTTTGATGGTGATGGTGTCGAAAGATGAAAATAAACCGCAACCAAAGATAGAGAAAAAAAGCCTGAGATTGATAATGATAATTATTGCAAGAACAATGCATTCATGAATTTGTGAATTTGCTCATTTTTTTCAAGCTCTTCGTTCTCGACATTAAATCTGTGTGAAAATGTTGTAATGTTGAGGTGAGTGCTCTTAGGGCGCAACTGACAATTTCAATGCACATTCAAAGAGGAAAATGTAAATTTTCCATGCAATGCAATGAATGCATCATCTTCGTGTCTCGGGCTCTTCATTCTCATTCTCCAAAGTTATTCTCACACTTTACACATTAACTTCAATATTTCTATTCATTTTCCTATTCGTTCGGCGAATTATTATAACGTTTTAATGTTACGTTTCTGTTTTTCTTCTCTCTTTCTTTGCAATTTTTCTTATTTTTTTCCCATTTTTTTTTCTTCTTCATATTTTAAATCATTAAAAAGTTTTTCTTTAATTTGTAAATTTCGTGTCTACAATTCGGCTCATTTCTTCACCAAACAAACGTATAATTTATGAATGCAATGGCGGCTGCACCTAAAGCATTCATAAACGGTTCTTTGTTTATCTATTCGGTGCCTGTTTCTGTTGTTGCGATCGTTTAATATAATTGGCATTGAGGTTAATATCAGTCGGAGTTGTTGCCAAAAGTTAATGCTTTCCCAATTAAATTTGAAGGCGAAAAACCATCAATTGCTGATGCGCCGCCGACAGACTTTCAAAGAAGTATGCATATAACATGGCGTGTATCGTTCAAATAAATTTCATCACGATTTTTCCACTATTGTATTTTGATCTAGTTTGTTGTTGATTAACATTTTTTCCATTGGAAATATTATTGTGCGAAGTTTTTTTCGTGGTTTTGACGGATGGCTTCAATTAATTGAAACTCTTTCGGCACATTAAGCTATTTTTTTTCGTCGATCTGAAGTGAGACCTAGAGTGAGACCATCATTATTTGACCAAATTTAAATCAAATTAAAATGCATCCTAACATGGTGCACGGGGAACAAGATTTTTGTAGATGAACTCTATCGACTTGCATTTCATTGTTGGATGCGTATCGCGTTTTTAAAAACATTGTTGTTTCTTTGTTTGCGAATTTTTTTTGCATTGTGTGTGTGTTTCTGCCTTTTTTGTTCTGTCCTCACTTTTCCATGGATTAATTGTTTTTTCCGTTTCTTTCATGCAGTCCTCTATTACACGCATACCCACAATGCATAATTACATAAAGTGCAGCGCTATATTCTGATGCCTGTTAATAATATGCACACTTTTTTCCCCATTTTTTTTTTGTGTTGCGTTCCGACCGTCAAAAAACCAACGCTTCTGTTTTGTTTGTTGGCTTCGCATGTCGATGCATCAGATTGTTCTTCGTTTTTGAACCTCTTTGTTCTCGTTTCAGATCGATTCGCTGCTTACAAAGTAAAAAAAACACTGGCTGTTCGAGCGAAACAAAAAGGGAAACTGAATAGATGCAACACATCATATGCATTTTGTAGAGAGAGGGAGAGAGAGAGAAAATACGACCAACATAAAATAAGAAACACAAGGCACACAAAATGCAGCCGCATCCAGAAATAAATTACAAATAAAATGAGACGCTTTGCAAAATTGTATATTGTTGAATAAAAACTGCAGGAAGAAAAAAGTCTCCGTTTTTGGCTTCGCATAACCAAAAACAAAAAATTTATAAAAAAAAGAGGAACCAAAAATGCAGCGCAACCATGCTATGTTTGCATTCAAAGAATAATCAAATAGAAAAGATTCCATACAATAGTAGTTTCTTATTATAAAATTCTTCATTCTTTCAAATGCAAAGAAACGTGCATTACTTGTGGTTTTCCTCCAGAAAGCACATAATTAAAAAAAAAAGTTAACAAAAGTGGGACATAAAATGAGAAATATTAATAATTCTTCTTGAAAATAATACATTTGTCGCTTGAATTCGATTGAAGAAAAAAAGAAATGATAATAATGCAATTTTCAAGTACATCGCCACAAAATCGTTAACGTTGAATTTTTGTACCATTTTGGAATGGCGAAAGAGATCGAAGAGCACAATCGAGTATCGTAATGAAACAATGCAAACGTGCAATTTACTTTATATACTTTGAGCGCGTACACTTTATTTTTTTTTTTTTCATTTCAACTATATATATTGTTTTATATTTTATGCACCAACACAAATGAAAACTAATTGGAATTGGGTTTTGAGTGTACGATTGGGGAATGATGCGAGAAGGAAGAGGCGAAATAACTATAACAAAATGCATAAAATTCATGATAATAGTAGCGCATAGCCGGTTGCACACAAATGTATTTTAAAAATAGCGCGATTTGCGCGATCTGGCGTTGCTTCTCTTTTGTTGAATACATTTAAAGGCGTCTGGTCCGATGTGAACGAATCGAATCGAAACTCAAAAGAGTAGATGCGAAGAGTTGAATCGAGTTGATTTGAGTTGCATGTGTCGGTTCTCTTCTTGGTTTTTTGCGCACGCTGAATACATAATATCTACTGCACCATGAAATGAGTGGCCAAACAGCAAATGTGAATGTTTTATGTGTGTTTGTGGTACGATCAATTGTCCTTGAAATATCAAACCGAATAGCCCAGAGGTTATCGAACGAAAGGAAATAATGCTTTAAATTATTTCGTTGTTGCTCTCGTCATTCTTCTCTCGTCGTCGTCGTCATTTTCAATTTGCCTGTGCGTTGTTTTTTCTCTCTGTTCTTTCTTCACAACGATGTATTTCCCTACATATTCCCTTTTTTTCATGATGCGTGCACCTAATGTATGCTGCACAGGCATACAAACACAAAACCTCACACACACACACTTATACATAAATATTCGATGCCATGAACTATCTCAAGTGTGCAAATTTGCCCGATTCGCCTCGTTTCTTTCTGCAATGAACAGAGAGTGAAATTATTTACTGGCCGTTTTATTTCCATTCCAACCGATTTTTCTTGTTCTTTTTTCTTCAGTTTTTTCGCCCTCTGTCTCTCTCTTTCTCTTTATGCATTTAATGCCATAATCGATTCTTACCTCGTTTTCAATTTAAATTGAAAATTCAGTCGTTACAAACATTATATATATGTGCGTCGTATGTATTTTTAGCAAGTGGTTTATTTTACGGCTTATAAAAAGTACTATCGAGATTAGAATGCATTAATGTAGTTGATGCTATTTACTGTATTTCTTTTTATTATTTTAGGTAGATGCGATGAATTATGGGATGCTGCAAAAGACTTAACGACATTTTTGGAACTTGGTAACTCCACCACCGTTGGCATGTTAATTGATTGAAGCCAATGGAAGCTGGATTTACCACTCTCCAAGAAATGCATTTCATCAAAAAAAAATCGAATAAAGAAACAACTTTATCAAAACGAAGGCGTTTACCGTAAATGTGAAATATATTTTGGTAATTTTCAATTATGCGTTATATGTATATTTTGCATGTGCTTTAATTTAATCAAAATAACAAAATGGAACTTTCAGTTCAGTTGCAGTTGAATTCCTTAGCAAAAAAGTTTCGTAAATCTAGTAGTAATAATCATAGTAAATAGCAATAGTGTGTGATATAGATGCGATCTTCGACAAATATGCATTTAACTTGCTCGACAAACGGCACCCGAAGCGTTAAATTCAAAAGGATCGGCCATCATTCGCTGTTGGTTTACCACGACGGTTGTATCGTAATACGTAACACGATTTTCTGCATCGAACTCTTCTTGCTTTGGACTCCAAAGCCGAATTTCGTGATCGATCCCGCTGGTGGCAAGCAAACACAATGTAGGATGGGGCTGCACACAATTCACAATTGTTGTATCACCTTTATAAACGGCCACAATTTTATTGCTCGGCCTCTCCCATATATACTACAATTTTTTTAAATAAATTTAAAATTAAAAGAAATATTTTTAAAACTTATTCTTTTTTTTAAAAAAAGTTGAGATTTTTTTTTAAACTTACAAAATTCCCTTCGTCAGAACCAGCGACTATAAAGCTGCCATCATCACCAAAGTAATTTGCTTCTTTAATGTCAGTTGTTGTGTTACAATGGCCCACAAATCTTTCACTAAAGTCTTTTGCGATCGTTCTCCAATACTGTTAAAAGGTAAAATGCCATTTATTAGAAAAAAATTGAAAAGAGTTTTGTCACTTAAGAGCACCATACCATTTCATTGTCAGATAGTTCGGTGTCCGGACTGTCGCTGCCATTTTGATTTGAATTTCGATTTTGCTGTAATAATGGCCAATAAAATAAAATCAATACTTTTCTCAAAATGAATCAATTTTTGTTTTACTGTACCTCGACGTGAGCTTGAATATCCTGAGATAAAAGTTGAATTTGTTTGTTGTTTGAATCTTTCGGGAAGCGTTTCTTTAGTTCGTCAAGGCATTCACTCGACTCAATTACGAAGCCCAATTCGAAAAGAGCACGAGCCAAGCGAAAATGTGCCTTGACATATGTTGGATCGAGTCGTAAGGCTGTTTGGCAATCTCGCAAACCTGAATACATATCACCGTACCAGTTGCGACGCATATAAGCGGTGGCACGATTCAAGTAGAAAACTGGATGATTGTTCAACAATTGAATGCAATCGCTGTATTGATTGATCGCTTGTAAGTATTTCTCATTTTCCATGAAGTCATTTCCACACTTTTTTAATTCTTCAATGTGTTTCGGTAGCTTTGATTGTTTTGTATAAGTAACTGAAGTCGGTGATGGTGAGTTTGCAGAAGGCAATTCGAGTGATGATATAGCGGTATCGGTTGGTGTTTCCAAGCTTTCGCTTTCGTCGGTATCGCCAGATTTATTGAATTGTGGCATACTCAAATACTGAAACAAAAATCAATTCAGCTTCCTTGTTTTTACTGAAATTTTGCTAAAAAAAATGCACATTCTTACCACGGGTTCCTGAGCATTGTTCAAATCATAGAGGTAAATTTGTTCGCTACCCATATTCACCAGCAATTCAGTTCCTTCTGGGCTAAAGCTAAGATAGGTTATAGTCTTTGAACTCAAGTTCAGTTTACGGTCTTTGAATGTATTCAAATGGCCTGGGCAAAAATATGTTACACAGTCTCTACTCAGGTTATCTTCAAGTTGACGATCATTTTGTGCAAGCGAATCTGTCATACGACCAATCTATACGGTACAATCCAAAAATTAGTAACACGATTGGAAATGATTTGATTTGTAATTGTCATTACCCGAAATAGTTTGATCATGCGACGGTCATAAACACGAGCATACGCGTCGCTCGAACCAACGGCTAATTGTTCTGATCGTCTAGGATTCACAGCTACACATTTTGCTTCCGCAGTCGCACCGACATGATTTTGTAGATCAATAAGACAGACCTTTTCGTCGCGTGTGCAATGATGAGGCTCTCGAATGTCAAATTGTCTGGAATTAAATCGATAAAGTCACCATTTCAAGAAAACACAAAAATTGTACATACAAAATTCGTCCATCTTCTCCGGCCGACCAAAAAATGCACGGGCTATCTGGTACTGTTGCAAGTCGCTTAACTCTCTGATTATGGCAACTACACTTCCAACACGGTGAATCTAGATCTGTTGCACGATTTACGTCAAACACATAACAATATCGGTCGGCAGCAGCCGTTGCTATTAGTGCATCGTTTGTTTGTGGTAGAAAAACAACAGAAAAAATGTTGCCTTGATGCGGTGTCCTACGGTAAAAAAAAAGTCGAATTGATTGCATTTGATCGAAGTGAGGTTGTAAGAATGAAAATCATACCGTATATCAAGTGCCGGTTTGATGTCATGATGAAATGGTTTCCAAAGAATGAGACGATTATCATCACTGCCACTTGCAAGCAATTGACCATTCGACGACCATTCCAGACAATTGACGCATCCAACGTGACCTTCTAATTTGGCTTCAATATCTAAATTTTGTATGAATTGTGGCGCCGCTTTCAATCGATTCTTAACTAATGTCTCGATATCATAGTATGGACGATCTCTTTGTAGCAAGACAACATTTCGTCTGGCTCGTGGCGGCCAATGATAGTGTCTATGAAACTTGGACATAGCACTGGAAAATGTTTGGCGAAAGTAAACAAAATTCGATAAATATTTAAATTGCATGTGATTTATATTTTCAATGGCAACGTTGATTGCGATTACCTTTTGTCGACTTAATTTCACTCGTACAATGTCAAACAATCAAACACGAAAAAAAAAATCAATAAAATGGCCTGTTGGAAATTATTTATAGAACAGATTAATGTAAGTTATTATTGAATTGTGTGCGAGCGTTGTTTATTACCGCAATGCAAATGATTGTGTTTGTTTTATTTTGAATTGTCTTTTTTCGCTTATGGTTTTCCAACTTTTTTTCCACTTTGTTTTGACAGATCTTTCTTGAATTTCTCTATTCTATCTTCGCATCAAATGAAAACAAACAAATTGCGTTCCTAGTGCAACGGGCAACACTCTTTTGAAAATTTGAAAAGTTGCGCGCTATTTTTCGTTCCGAGTTTTGAATGCGATAATTCTATAAATCGATTTTTTAAAATGATTTCAATATTTTCAGAATAAAAAAACGATGTTTTATTTATCACAGAAATTCAAAAAAAGAATCCAAAAACAAACATTATTACAGACATACAAATCTAATCATCTGTCAAAAAAATAATGTGTGTTGTTCAAACTGGTCTGCTTTATAGACATTCCAGTGACTTCACTTCACTTCCAATAAGAATATTGTTGATGTGTCACTTGAACGTGAAATGTCAAGTTTTGATATATTTTTTTCTTCATGTAAACACATATTTTGATCGAATTCGCTCATAGTTTTAATGAAAATAATACAACAAAAGGTGAAATTAGGTGTAATTTTGGCATAAAAATAAAGAAATGGCAAAGAAACGGGACTTGTTTAAACTACCGGCCGGACCGACTGAAATTTGTTTTGACAAAAATGAATTTATGAAGAAAACATTTTCGGTGGACGAATTTCTGCAAGAACATCGAAATGCAGCCACTTTGGAAACGATGCGAGACGATTTGGGTCTTTATCTCAAAGTATTGCGATCGGCAATGATTGAGCTGATCAATGAAGATTACACGGATTTTGTAAATTTATCGTCGAATCTAGTGGGTTTGGATCAATCGATCCAAGGTATCCAAACACCGATGAACGTAATAAAAGATGAAATTGTTTCAGTGCGAACCACTCTTGAGAATACAATGCAAGAGGTAAATGAATGTCTGGATCAGAAACAACAATTGCGCGAACACCTGAAGAGTGTTCAAAGTTTAAGCAATGCCAAGAAATCGATGAGTAAATTGGAGAAACTTCTTGCCGAACAGCTGAACGATGACAACAATTTGAATCCAATGTTACTGGAACGAGCAGCCATGGAATTGGTTAATTTAAAATACAATTTGCAATTTTGCCATCAACATTTGGGTCGTTTGGACAATCCAAAGGGCTTAGATCAATTTGACAAAACGCGCAATAATCTATTGACGAAAGTTGAAACGCATTTTTTGCGAGTACTTGACGATAAGAAAATCGACCAAATTGAACGATGCCTTCGAGTGTACTGTACATTGGGCGAATACAATTCGGCTGAGGAAATTTTTCGAAAAAAAGTTGTCGGTCCGTACATGCATCCAATTATATCGGAAGTGTCATTACAAAATGCTCCACAAGGTCTTAGTGGCATTTATAACCAAATCGTTCAATTTCTCAATGATCGAATGCGTCAATTACTACTGCTTACACAGCCAAACGATAGCGGTGCAGCGACGGTGCACGGCTTTGACTTTATCATTAATAGTTTTTGGACAGAAGTGGAAAGACGCATTGAAACACACATGACATCGATATTTGCGCCGGGAAATCCAGATTTATTTTACCAAAAATATGAGCACACCATAGCATTTTTGGAGAAAATTGAGAACGTCATCAAAAGCCGCAAACAAATCGATCAATTCCATAACAACGAACAATACAAGCAATTCCAAAGCAAGTGGAATTTACCCGTTTATTTTCAGGTATTTTTTTTTTTTACAATTATTATTCGATTTTCGATTTGAGGCTTGAATTCAATTTGTTTTTCTTCAAATTTAGATTCGTTTCCAAGAAATTGGCGGTGCATTAGAGTCAGCTTGCAGTGAGCCGATTAATGAAAATATAATTGCTGTATCTTCGTCAGAGTGTGATTTTAGTTTGAAGCCATTCGTCAAAGGTGATGCATGCATAAAAAAATGCTGGACAACTGGTGTTTACTTGCCTCAATTGTTTGTACGTTTTTTCAAATTTACACTGCAAATTCTGTCGCGACTGAGTAAATGGTCTGAAGAAGCTATTGCAATAAAAAACGTACCATCTTTGGATCGTATGGATTTCATGACGATGATTTATTTAGATGTAACCACATTGATTGGAAAGATATCGAATATATTTGATTGCATCGTGGAAAACGTTCCAACCAATATGAATACCAAATTGAGCTTGATAGAAAAATGCTGCGATGAGTCGAGGGCTATGTTGACAGAGCGTTTGAAACTAATTGAACAAGAATGGAGCAGCGAAATCATAGCACAAACATCTGGCTGGACTAAACAAGTTGGAGACATTCCAAGACTTTATCGGAAAACAAATCGAGAAGCACCGACAAAACCATGCAATTACGTCGAACAAATTCTCAAGCCAGCCAAATCATTTTACACAAAAAACTCTGCACGAATTGCATCAGATACAATAAAGAAATGCATGATTTTATCATTTTCACATTTGAATCGACAGTAAGTGTGACAATATAATCAAAAAATCAAAATTGCGATTTTTATAGAGCAATGCCTTTCTTTTCATTTCAGGTATTTCTCGGCCGTGAGCGATGTGCTGACTTCAGTACAAAGAACCGAAGAATCATTGCGAAGGCTTAAAAATCTACGTGAAAAGTCGGGATCCACGCAACAGGGTAGTAGTTCGGCATCATCGGGAATGTCTGATGACGATAAAATTCGATTACAATTGCATGTGGACATTTGTGCTTGGTGTGATGAAATTGAAAAACTTCAAATTGATCGAAAGTCGGTGGATAAACTTATTGAATTAATTCAACTAGTTGAGGAGTCTACAAAAATCAAAGTGGCTGACAAATAAGTGGCCTCAAACAAAAATTCAGTAAAAATATGTATTTCGTTTCTGTTATCAATTAATTAAGAATTTAACATATTAAATATTATAATAATGTACAAGATTAATGTTTTCTATTCATCTCCGGCATCTTGTCGCATCATCTCTTCGATCAATCGTTTTCGTTCTTCGGCTTGTCGCATTTGGCGCAGTACGATTGATTCATAATCGTTGTCTGTTATAGTGGTGGAACCGTTGCCAGTTCGATTCGTATTTTTGGGTGCGTTTCCTATCCATGACAATTCCAACGGGTTATCCATATTCCCTTTTTCATAATCGATTGCCATTTCGGCTGCTTCCTGTGACTTGAACTCAACGACAGCACTCCCTCTTTTCTTTGCCGATATAACTAGTGCAACAATGTCGCCGTATTTCTTGAGAAAATTTCGGAGGTTCGTTTCGTTATAGCCGCCATTTGTATCGTCACCTTTTTCGGCTTTCCATTTGATTTTGATACGATGCAGTGACGAATCCCATTGACTTGAGCCCTCTTGCATTTTTAAACGGTCTTCAGCCAACTGTTTACGCATCATTTCTTGTTCTTCTTCCAACAAACGTGAACCTTCCTTACGCAATCGTTCCATTTCATCTTTGAGCTGTTCTTCGGGCGATTTTTCAGCAGAATAACCGCCTTTACGAGACTTTTGTTTCGCACTTGCCTCCTTTTCACGACGTTCCAAATCTTCAATCAATTTTCGCCGTTTGCTATCCAATTCTGCGTGTCGTAAGGCAGCCGCTTTCTTGGCATTTAAAACGCGATCATACGCAGCACGAGCTGATTCATCGGTCAAAATTCCCAGTGCATTTGATAATTCATGGAAAAGTTCTGCCGCTTTCGGATTGTCGGGATTCTTGTCCGGATGGCAGGCCAATGCTTTTTTACGATATGCTTTTCGGATCTAAATTATGACAAAACAAATACAGAATTAAATTGTTGCCTTGACATTCTATATTATAAATACAGAAAATAAACGTTTGTTTACCTCACTCTCGGTAGCGGTAAGTTCAACCCCAATTAAACCATAAAGGTCAATATTACTGAATTTTTTCACATCAACCATTTTGGAAAATTGATTTCGACTGCAAAAAATTAATCGGAAATTAAAATTTTGAAAGTTTTTTTGGCTTTTTTAGTGAAAGAAATTCACGAAAAACAAAATTTAACACTTCTATTTGGATCGAACGAAGAAACGTTTCGAAACGTCAAACGTTTTATACCTTATGTCAAAATAACATGTAGCCTTTGTATGTGTAAGTGTATGTGTCAATTCCTTCTTTGACATAAATCGACGTTGGAATTTTGGAATGCATATTTTACAGTTCGCTAAACTTTTATTTTCTGCATTTTAGCATAAATATCATTTGAGTTCATATACAAGCGGGGTAGTCAATCGCTTCATTGTTCGAAAGATGTGATGAGTCTTAAATCATTGGCTTTGAACACGCCATAGTGTTCGAAATACATGCACGCCAAAGTGCATGAAGAAGAAGAGGAACCAAAACCAGCACGACATAGTGCAAAACATAAAGAAACTATTTGTATCTGCGTTTCGCCCGCAGACATAGTAATTGTGAATTTGCGTTTCAATCGCAAATGAAAACAAAACAACAGCAACAACAAGAAAGCAACAATAAACGACTTTGTCGAAATCAAAAACACTTTGAAGCTAATTTCGACTATCTTTTTGCAAAAAGAATTAAAATAGTATTAAAACATCGTTGCTTTTTAAATCTGGATCGTCAAGTCTGTTAAACGTCAAGTCTTTTCCAATTTACTTACATTGAATATATATTTGTGTTGAGAGTTCGAGCAATCGAGAGACCTTTACTTCGCATCTCGCATGGTCATGCACTTTTTTTTATTTTGTTACGAATGTGTTACCCTATCTATCTAATGATTAAATTTTTTTTTTTAAATTAATATTTTATGAATGAATCAAAATTGGTCTATATACAAAAGAAAAATACCTCTTTCGATCAGAATGAACATTCGTACATTCGGTACAACGTTCCACATTCGAATTTTAAATTTTTTTCATCTCTTTTGCAAAATGATTTGATAGCAAACATTTAATTTTTGAAATTGTTTTTTTTTTATCCCCATTATTTATTATTATTGAAGTATTGAGGCAAAAATTAAAGAATTTTCATATTTACTTCTTTAAGCTCATAATTTATTCGTTTACATGTATTTGTTCCTAAAGTGCTGGTAGTCAGAGGTTCATGGTTCGTCACCCACATATTCCGAATGATTTTTTTTTCACTTAAAAAGATCATTACAGATTTTGGTATATGTATGTAAAAAGAAATTAAAATTTAAAAATAAATGTTAAATAAACGCTTGATTCACAAACTAGCAAAAGAATAGTCATTGCGAACTTCAAGGTAGTTTTGATTAAACGATAATACGATTTTCTTTATACAGGCGATTTTATTTATTTTTCAAGACCTATAATGAAGGTAGTATTTCGATATTTCATTTTCTTCAAGTTTTTTTGTATTCAAATACGATTTCACATATGATACAAATACTCATACGAATACGTTGATGTAGTCAAAGTGACATCACACTTTTCAAACCAAGAAGTGCCAGACTATCCTCAAGCATATAATGCAAACCAATGTATATTTATTTCAATTGCTGGAAATTCGTGTGCCAGTGAATTATAATTTTTTGAAATGAAAAAACATTACTGCGCTTGTCCACACACTCATTCATATGAATGGAATCATAACAAAAACACTATATCCATTTCATGCAATGCATGCATTGTGAACCGCATATGTGAATTTAACCGCTGCATCATAAATTCAATCTGACGTTTGCCGTTAAAAAAAATCAACAAACAATATGTGTAATATTTTGAAGGTTGCCAGTTGAAACGAAACACCTAAAAAGAGATTTCATTTATTTCGTTTTTAAAATTGTAAAAAATATTCATATCTAAAAATTTGTTTGATTACGAACTCTAATTTGAGCAAAACACCAACGATTCGGATCGAAATCCATACAATTTATAATGAAAGATTTGTCATGAAATCTATTTCACAATAAAACTTGTGATAATGTATTCATAGACAAATATTAATAATATTCAATATTTAAAAAAAAGTAATGATGCTAATCAAACATTGCAGCCAAAAAAAAAACGAACACATTAAATTGATTTTGTTTACATGAAAACTGAACCGATACCTAGTCAGATCAGTTTGAAAGACGTCATTGAACGGTTCACTCACAATACAAGTGTATAGCATTTCGCACCGCATACCGTAATAACAACAAATTTGTGTGTTATTTATCCGATACGCTCTCTTTTGTACGCACACACTCAAATGTAACCCATGCTGATGTGATGGCTGGAGTTGTCTCGCTCTAGCAGCCACAATACATGTAAATGTAATTCGTGCAAAACGGTTGTCAATGTAACATTGTACAAAGCGATGTGGCGTTTGACAGTGTGAGTTCGAAATAATTTTCTTGTAAAGTATTGTACAAATTTTTTTAGTGTTAGTTCATTCTATTCGTTTTTGTAGAACGGTGACAGCAACGACGACTACGTTTAAAGGAGATATCCATCATTTTTTTTCTCCATAGAAATTCCATTTTATATATGCACGAATAGTGTTTTGAATAACAAATAGCTTTAGTGTAAATTGAAAACTATCGACAACACATTGAGAAAATTGTTTCACTTGAAGTGTTACTAAAACAATTACCATCCGGAAAAGTGAAAAGAAAATACAAGTGAAAAAGAGAAAAAACCAACAATTCGGTCAAATTAAATTGCGACAACTATCGATCAATTAAAAAGGTGAACATTTTATGTTTCCATTTCTTACTTGTATGGTGTATATGTGCAAAATATTATGTCATTTATTTCGAGAAAAAACAACAGTGGTTTTGTGCTTATGTTTGCATTGTCGTAAAGTTTGTTGAATGAACAATTTTGCAAAGCAAATTGAGTGCGTGTTTTTGTTACCGAAATGGCAACCAATTCACATTTCCAGTTCGTTTTTGCTGTTTTGTGATAGTTTTCACAGCGGCTGGTTTTTTCTAGTTTCATTTGTTTTTTGTTTTTTGGTGCTGTTCTGGAATTCAAAGCGTCGTTTTCAATGGAATTCCATTGATTGTTAGCATGGATGGTGTTCCAGATTTACACAGAAAATGTAATGAATATGATGGCCGATACGATAATGGAATGTGTCAAACCTAATGAGACAGACTATGCCACTCGAAAATTTGCTTAATTTCCTTGTGCAAAAATAAATTATGCCACTAATTAGACTCAATGATTTTCGAAATTGAAATTCTAAATAAATGAAATCGACGGTGTTGTAAATGTCAACTTTGCTATTTGTGGGTCTTTTTAAGTAACATTAAATGCTTTTCCTAATTAAGTGATTTTTCAGCAGAAAAACGTGTACTTTCGAAATTATATTCATTTTGGCGTTATATTTGTTACTTGATAGCTTTAAAGTGTCAACTCCATAAATCACATACACATTATGCAATGAAAATCATAATTTAATCATGTCAAATGATATCACCACCTCAGAAAAACATCGTTCAATTTTTTGCTCATGTGTTAAAAGTAAATTTTAACCAAAAATAGAAGTGAAAGACGTCAACATTTTGTTTGAATAATAAATGTACAATAATCTATACGGCCAATGAGGTGAAGCGATGGATAAGGCTGTTCAATAAAATCAAGTAACATCACTAACTTCAATTTAGTGGCGCTATGCTGTTATTTTCAATACATGTCAATGTACGAATGAAAATGGGGAAAATCAATAAATTCGTGCATTCGGTTTGAAAAGAAAAAATTACTTTCCATTGAAAATATCATTTCACACACGTACACATATTCATCGTGTTCTATCGCTGATTTTATACGAAATTAAAACAATTTTAATTCACAATTGTGCTGGTATTTTGCATGCGCATTTCTTTGTAACCTAAGAAAAAAACAAAAATATTTCTCTCTAGCGTTGTCAATTGATTGACTGACACCAAGGACCGCTTGAACGACTTGATATTTAAAACAATCAGTGCGTTTTTTGCACAACGCTTTATCACATGTAAAAAAAACATTCGGTTTCGTTTATCTCTTTTAGTAGAATATATGTTCGTTATATTATATATCAAGAGTCTGTGCGTTAAGCGATTTCGACGATCGCAAAGTGTTTTGTCCATTGTTGTTTGTAAGCAGAGTGTAAACTTATGAAATAATTTTTATTCACAGAATTCTAAGGCATTGTTTGCATCTTTTTCTCAGTTCATTCAACATATAATATCGAATTAAAAACATAAAAGTGTCATTCAAAAACCAGAAACCACAAAGAATTTTCTCACACTTGTTTTTAATCCCAAATGTCATTCACATTAACGGAATGTTCGCGTTCAGTTTAGCCGCATACTATCGCGGTTATAAGCGGGTGTGAGGCCAAAATCATTGTTCCACGCCCATTTTTATCGAAGATAAATAATTATTCTACATCGAGATAATACTCGTGTTATATAACCACATGAAACTATGTGTTTCACAAAATTAAGTACAATGTCTATGGATGTGAACTATTTCTTGGTATTTTTATTCTTTCGTCTCGGTTAATTGGTTGAGGGTTTTAACGATTAGTTCCCAGGGATAACGATTAATGAAGATGGATATTGATTCAAAAAACATTTCGACTTCGTTCAAACAATAATGAAAATTAATGAAAATTATTTGATGTGAAAAAAGTGTTGCCCATTTCGCTGGATCAAATGTATTTGAGCTACAAATTGGGTTAGCTTCATTAATTTTTTATGATGAAATCGTCCGCGTTGTTTCTCTCATCAATCAAGAATGCCTTCGCATGAAAAGGCTCAGATATATTTGCAGTTTCGAATATGCCCATAAAGGATAGATTGGTCGTTGTTTAAAAGTACACAAGCTATGTTATCGTTCGAATGTTCATGAGCGATTAATTTTTCAGTAATATAAACAATAGATAGCCGTGTTAAAAACGTTTCACATAATACGTGATTAATTTATAGTCTCAGCTGTTTATTGAATACATGACATTGGTATATGTTACTCTGAATGTATTTCAATGTGACAAATCTCTTGGGGTTTTTGATTATCTACTTGATAGAATTAGATAGATTCACCCACTTTGATACATGAAAATCAATAAACGAAAGATAGAAAGCGTTCGAACGCTGTCTTCCCACCAATGACTTTTTGACTCTAATGTAATACGATAGATTCATTCTAACTACCCTATTGTTATTTAACATAATCATAATAAATTTGCATCCCGATTTAATAATGCTCTTCGGATTCAGTGAACGGCAAACGATAAACACTTCATGGAACGTCATAGTTTTGAGCGTGATTAATTACTATTTTGATTTATGCAAATAGGCATTATCAGCACAGCGTACAGCATGTTAATATGATGGTTTTTTATTAAAAATGTAGAAAAATGTATCTCGTAACCGCCTCTGATACGCGCAATTATTTATTTTTTTTATTAATATTAATTATGCCAAATGGCATCATATTTCAAAATTTTTCATTGCACCGACCTGTTGCTAGTCACAAAATGACGTTTTGAAAGTGGCCACAATTAAATGGAAAATATTACCCTTATATGTTGTGTATATGTATGAATTGTCACTGGCGGAGAGATTGAGAGAATATCTTTGTGTATGGCGTTGGAAATATACTCCTACGCCCACACTAATTTCATCGTACTAAATTAGTAATATCGACAATTCAAATTGAGTCAAAAGCAGAATTTTACGGTCTCCGATTGTTCTGAGTCAAAATAATAAACCAAACATCCAAATAGGTTGGAAACAATAAAATGAAAAAAAGTCACGAATGGATTGTTCAAGTTCAATCACGAAATGATACAGTTTGTTGCGTAGCGAAAAAAAAAACATTTTTTTCACTGTGAACAGATGAAATCCAATGACGTCAGCGGTATTCCATGTTGAAATTAATTAAATGATTCACAAAAGCGAAATGAATTATGTGGCAAAGATCAATATTTAGTAAGATAGGCATTGCTTGTGCCTTACACATTTGAGCGCATCAGCCATGACGTTACCATGAATGTGATTAAACTAATTATTTATGGTTTACATTACGGGAACTGGCAGTCAGTAATAATTTATGGAAATGCGCAGAATATAAATAGCCTAATGGTATGAAACTATTTTGCAACGCCCCGAATGCATGTGTCCATTGTCATTGTCATTGAATCCAATCCATTTGCATTATAATGTGATTTGATCATGAAGTCCGAACTGTAATCATTTTTTTCTATATCACAATGATGCAAAAATAGTGATGCTTATCACATTGTGGTGCAGGTTGTTCTCTTTTTCATTGCTCTTGTTCGTTTCCGAGTTGATTAAATTGTTGACTTTTTGATTTATGCTCTCATTTCAATCGTTATTGTTTGACATAAAGAGAAAAAAAAATATTCAATTGAAAATTTTCATTTTATTTCAGCATCCTGCCAGAAATTCCAAAAAGACTGAAACAAACGCATCACACGATGAAGAAGGGTTAAGCGCAGACGGTGTGGTGACGGCAAATATTAGCATTTCTAATATGTGAAAATGTTTAAAGTGCAACCATTCAATTCATTTCAAATACATCACATACTTACACAATTCTATTGAAATAAATGCACATTATTCATTGTATGCATACGATGACAACCGAACGGTAACAGTACAATTCAGTGTTCATGAGACACGCATATGCATCGACACTAAAATTATACAATTTATATACATATATATACAAACATACAAAAAAAAGTATAAAGTAAAATCGTAAACCAAATCCGATCAAAACAGACCCTACTGAGCAACCATGAAATGAAAGAGACGGAACGATTAAAACAAAACAATGTGAAACGAAAATACAAACGACGATTAAGTGCACAGTGAGAATCGAAGTGGACCGATTGTGCGAATAAACAAGCAAATGCATGTAATAAAAGTGAAACTTGGTGGTAAAGGGGAGAAACAAAACAAAATAAATTGAAAATAAAAAGAAGAAGAAGAACAGCAACATATTTATGGAAAGCAAAGAGTTAATTCATAAGATTCAGCTAGTAGACATTTATGTGCGTGGTCATCCCGTTTTATGAATGAAATTCTTGACGCCAGGATAAATAAATTGTGTTAGACTGTTGTTGAGAAAGATCTGTATACGGTGCAAAAGCGTAACAACATGACGGTGGATTTCAACGATTATTTTTGGGTGAGTGTCAATGTACAGTGGTGGAATTTAAAATTCAATTGGACTGAAAGCGGCTTATTTTCTTTTCGTCATGATATGACCTTTTAACCTGTTTGGCTTGACTTTGTCATTGCAAAGCATTATTTTAATTAAGAGAAGTGCAATACAAAAGAGTCTGATTGGTATCTCATTAAGTTCGATTGAAGAATTCACATGTTTCATGTCAAATAAGCGACTTCCTTTCATTGTATGCAATCACATACGTCATGTGGTAAGAATCTTCGTGACAAATTACACTACATGCTGAATATCACATGTTTTCGCGTTATTTGTTCAGTGACTGAAGTCCGTGTTGCTGATAAATGCGGTAGACAAACAACTATTGCCGTCTAATCGAAATTGTTGTACAACTGCGAAATGGAGAAAATATTTTATGCACATAGCGAGTGTTAATATTTATATCAGTGGTGTTGTGTATATTTTCTTAACAAACATTCGAGAGAGAGAGAGAGAGAGAGAGAGAGAGAGAGAGAGAAAACAAGCAATTGTTAATAATAATATTCTCTATTGTTTGAAGTCAAATGTGAATATGCTTTTTTATAATACAATATACATGCATAAGAACCAACGGTTTGAAGATAATGCCTCACAAAATGTGCACACAAAAAAAAAACAATGTTATTTCAGATTCTTAAAAAAAATATCAAAAGACGGTCAAGCAACACCAAAATGGCAATTGTTTTTTTTTATCCAACAAGAGCCCTCATGCACATATTTACGCATGAAGTAGAGATGATAAGATAAAAGTATAAATGAATGCGGACGCAGTGTAGCAGAGACAATTATTGAAGAATCCATGCAAAGCAATTCATAAGTTTCGTACAACCCATAAACGAGCCCATTTAAACCTTCAACTAAAATTCCATTCTGTATTGTTCTGTTTCGCATTTTCTTTTAATTGCATAACATAAAATAGGCAAGCGACACAGCGGGAATAAGAGGGCTTTGTTCCGCCAACGATATGAAAATTGACCTCATGAATTCTCTCTCTTTTTTTATAAAAACTGTAAATTTATCGCTTGCCACTGAAAATAAAAGAGAAATGGCGTATTGCCAACGAGATTAAAAAAAAACAACAATCCATTCATATCCATTTGGACTTCCTATGAAACTGATAGCGTCGGCCATCATATGAATAGTTCGTTTGATTTTTGGCTGGCATTTTTTTGCCCACATTTATCGCCGCTGATGTATAAGTTTTTTTTTTTGTTTTTTGTGTTTCGTTCAATAGGGTGACAAAAATAACGGTTTTGACGTTTTGTATCACAATATGAAGTATGGATTGGTGGCCAGCAAGGAGTTGTCGGAGTTTTTCCGCGAAAAATCGAACATCGAAGAATCGAATTCAAAGTTGATGACCAAACTAGCAAACAAAGCTGGTTCAGGATGTGTACATGGAACATTTGCACCGGTATGGGTGGTACTGAAATCATCAGCCGAAAAATTGTCATCGTTGCATTTACAAATGGTGCACAAAATTTCGGAATTGGTTAAAGATGTCAGCAAGTATGCCGATGAACTGCATAAGAAGCATAAATCGGTAAAGGAGGAGGAGGCCAGTACGTTGGAAGCAGTGCAGGCAATGCAAGCGTCCACGGCAGCCGTTCAAAAAGCCAAGGATTCGTTTTCAAACAAAATGCATGAATTGGAAAAATTGCGCAAAGATGGCTCGGCCAAGGAGTTGGAAAAGGCCGAATCAAAATTGCGGAAGCAACAAGACGATTACAAGCAATTATTGGAAAAACATAACCCCGTTAAAATGGAATTCGAACGAAGAATGAGCATTACATGCAAGGTATGTGTACATAATATAATATAATTTTTTGCGCAAAGGAAACACGGTAATAATCCACTTTTGTTTGCATTACAGAGATTCCAAGATATCGAAGAAAACCATTTGAAACAAATGAAGGAATTTTTATCAACGTACATTGAACTTTTGCAAAATAACCATGATATGGTTGGACAAGTGCACTCCGAATTCAAGCGACAATTCCTTGAAATGACTGTTGATAAATTGCTCGAACAATTTGTAATGAGCAAATATACAGGCCTGGAGAAACCGGGTAGGTGTTCGTTTTGAACGAAAAATAAAAACGCAAAATGGTCTCATTCACGCTCTATCTCTCCCCCCCCCTCTGTCTCTGTCTACATATTGGAGTTCTCAGTTAATGATGCCTTTCGTTCACTTTGAATCCCATTTTAAGCTTGTCTCACTGCTAAACAATCCTCTTTTAGAAGTGTACAGCAAACGTGAACCCAAAAAAAAAATTGAATGCCATAGATTGTGTCTATCTGATTCGTTGCTTTTATGCGCATTATCTGCAAAAGAAATGCAAGTGCTAGACAGTAATTTGAGTACTTGTTGCTCTTTTGTGGCTTCAGCGCATTCTATGTGCGATTTAGAGTTTTGTTTTCGTTTTGCCGTAAATTGTTTAACAAAGTTTATAACCTCGTCCTGCATGATGTTTTTAAACAATTTTCTTTTTGCCGTTTTTTTTCATATGTTTTTTTCGTTAACCGGTTGGTTCTACCAAAACTAACACAGAGATTGTTGAGCTTGATTTAACACAATGGTCGCCTAGCAATACAAGTTTGAATGCAACCCAACCAAGCGCATCGCATTCAATGGTCGGAGCCTCGACGAATTCGGTTGCGTCAGCCGGAAGTGGCATTGGTTCCATTCAATTAACAAATGTCCAACTTGAATACGCTCCAACCGCTTCGCCCGAACTAAGTCTAACTAACACTGGCAGCAGCGGTGCATCGAATAATCAATCGATTTTGGGTATGGGAACAACAACAAAACGTGAACCATATCTACGAAATTGGTTTATGTCACAATCATCGGCCTCGTCACATTCGGCAAACGCTGCTTCAAACATGCCATCGCATGCAAATACAGGCAATTCCGTATCGGCAAATGCATCACCAGCCGCTTCATCATTGAATGCAGTATCAACGGAATCAAGCGAAAGTAACTATCAAAAAATGAAACAATTCTCATTACAGCAACTTCATATCGCCGATAATCAATTGCCTATCGACAAATCGTCGTCTACTTCGTCCGTACCAAGTTTCCAACATCACAGTTCAATCACAAACACTAGTAAAAAAATCACTACAAACGGTGAACATAACGGCCATAATACCAACCAAATAAACAATAGCCATAGTCATTCAGCCGATGTCAGTATGAAAGACGATCAACAGAAGCAGTCAACATCACAGCCAAAACAACAAAAATCTTCCCGCCGCACAACTTCACTTCTTAACCTCTTCATGTCCAATTCTCAGGGTAATAACAACTAAGCAAACCAAAACAAATCCAATTTATAAAATATACACTCCCATTAGCCATCGAAAGCATCGACAATATCAAAATTCGAATCGATTTTATTCGAGACTATCACACGAAATCACTCAATTTTTCTCGGAACGTTCAAATTTTTAGAAGTTCAATTTAGTTGATAAAAAGTGATGCTTGCTCTAGGCATTTTCGAATTTTTATTCTTTATTCTATTCATTTTTGTTCGAATTATTTTTATTCGTTGAATTTTTCTTTGAATAAAAAAAACCTAAGAAATCGTCATTTTCTACCCAATTTAAAAGTCGAATAGAATAGTTTATGTTTCATGCAGTGATGTCTTAGTTTTAGACTAGTGCTATATGTGCCTGTATCCAGTAGATTAGTTTGTTTTCGCCTGTTCACAATAATCAAGAGCAAGTATTTTTGTTAATGTTGGCACCATTTAATTCTGGCATAACAGTCTTTAACATCAATGTTCAATGAAACTTATGTTTGTCCTTCGAGCGCGATAATTTTCATACTTCATTTACTAATATCTTTAAATCATTGCTTAAAGAATGAAACAATGTCATCATCACATGCAAATCGTTTTAATTGTGCATATAAGAAGTTAACATTCTGCTTTCACATTCGAAAAAGTTGCTTCCTCACTTAGCGTTACTAAACAATCAAATCGATTTGATAGCGAATTCTTTTTTTTTTACTTTAAAATAATTGGCATTGAAAGAAACTTCCAATTGTTCTATATGTATGTGTTACAGGAAGTCGTGAAAGTCGCGATAGTCGTGAGAGTCGCGGCAGCCGTGATTCAAATTCAGTTGAAGTTCTATCAGCTCCATCAAGCCCAAGCGAACAACAAGAAACTCAAAATCAGTCGAGTTCGCAAATCGGACGGAATCCACTCAGAAGTTCAAAATGTATGCATTGCACTAATTCGTTAAAAAAAAAATTCAGCAAAAAAACCAATACTTTCACTAACACCGTTATATTTTCTGCTAAAAGACAATTACAATCACATGTCTTGAATGTGAACATTTCTATTTTAATCACACGAAGTAAAAAAAATAAATAAATTTGTATTTAGACATTCTCCCAATTAAGTATTTGCTCTGTTTCTAGTTTTCAGTTTTGGTATCTTGAGTTTGGTTTTTTTCAATTACCAATTTTATCCTTAAAAAATCTTTTCCATATTGTTTTTAGCGGAAAATTAGACAAAATCATTCATAATATTTGCATGCATGGTTTATTTTCGTTTTTTTTTAATTCATTAAAAATCGCATACTTTTAGAATTAGACAATATAATAATAGTTCAGAATTCTAATAGTAAAATTTTCTATTTCAAAATTTCTGTTTCGATTAAATTATTGAAAATTAATGGGCCCACCCATCGTGTAGTCGTTTAGTTTGTGTTTGCCGCCTGAACAAAAATTATTATTTTTTTTGTTATCATCAGAGATATTGGATATAATGTGTGGGCGGGAAGTATTTTTTTTTGTTTGTTATGTTGACTATTATTTTGTTTTTATTTTTTTTTTAATTTTTAATTTTTATTCCTTCGCCAAATTTGCGTATGCCTTATTACATTTATTTATTATTTATTTATTTAATTTAAAAATTTTATTTAATTTAAAAATATTTTTTCTTTTTCATATTCATTTCGAAGCACTGAATATGCACAGCAGCTTTTGTCACGTAATTCATATTCGAATATAGTGAAGTAGTGATGTAAATAGTGAATTTATGTGTCTCGAGAGTTTTCTTCCAATCTAGATAAATTCATTACATAATTATATTGCATTTTTGTCATGCACGACACTCATTTCACATCAAATGAGTCCGTTTTTTAATTGCAATCATCACCTTGTCACATTTCAAGTGAAGCGGGTTTTTTTATTCGAATTAATTTCTAACAAATTCCCTTTCAAATGTAGTGCTCTTTTTTTATGCCTGAATTGCCATTGAAAAATGAAACAAGGAGTACTTTTTATCAACTAGATTCTCTAGTTAGTTTTAAAGCTTTTACGGATAGATAATATGAAAAAGAAAGTATTTTTATCCATGGCGATGAACTACTAGTTTTAGTTTGTGGTTGGATTGGTATTATTCTTTATTTCTTCCTATTCAAGACTAAATTTTTCGCATTTTTTTTTTAATCTCCATCAGTAGAGTACAATTTGCTTTATTCCGAACATATTAAGAAAAAAAGTATCTATTCGCTTATATATAAAGTTTCAGCAATTTTGCGAAGCGGTCGAAATAAAACAAAATCCAAAAAGGCGAAGAAGAAGAAAGATTCAAACGATGACACGATAAGTGGAACCAGTGGAGGGGCGGACACAAGTAGTGCCGTTGTGTAAGTGCATTTTTATGATTTGGCTCTTGAATGTATCATAAGACTGTCTTTGGTTTCAAAACAGCGAAGAGAAAGAGGATGTTAATCAAAGTATTGAGTCAATGCCACGGGCAACACCGATTTCAATGAATAGCACAGCTCCACCACACACTCCAAATAGTGAACATCAACCTGACGTTGACGAAGATGGCTACTGCATTCAACCGAAAGAACCCCTTTGGAATACTCAATGGTCAAAGAAAGGTAAACACTCAAATTATTCATTTTGAATTTAAAATAAAATCTAATCAATTAAATTTTAGATTCAGATTCGGACAGTGATTCGGACAATGATGATCGAGGACGAAAAATACACGTCGAAATAAAGCCATTGAACAATGGATCGGCACCGATTTCAGCCAGCGTTGATGAATTACGTGCAACTGTTGAGAATTTATCGTTGTCACCTCTTGGTGGAGCATTATCGGTATGATTTCGAGCCATTCATTAAAATACCATTAACCAGCAAATGAACAGGCACATTTTTCCAAGAATGTAATCTGTTTTATGATTTGACACTGAGTTTATTTAACATAAAATTGGATCTGGCTTAAAATTGGTTTGGTATTGGTGATCATTTAGTTTGTGTTTCCATTTTGAAAAACAAAAAATATATTTTCATAAAATGACACTCCCTTCATTTTCTTTGTACATACATTTTATTTGTTTATTTGCAATTATTGCACACATATTGCTATCCATTCACACTATGCTATTTATATTATTTGTTCACGTAGATTCTTTGGCACTTTGAATTTATTTGATTTTTATTTCAAAATTGTGTTAATGTTTTTGTATGTTTTTCTTTCCCTCCTCCAATTCAAACACCAATTATCGTTCTCGCCTCAATCGAAATAAAAAAAAAAAAAATCTTTCATTCCATCGAATACAACATCGTCATCTGTTCATGCATCGTCACACATCAACATCGGTCATTTTATTTGTTCTGTCTATATAGGGTCGACGAGATTCAAATGTTGAAACCAATACCATGCTTATGAAACGTTCGCAATCTGTGTCACAACAAATTGGCGATAAGCCAAGTAATGATTTGCTTGGTCTCAATTTATTTCAGCATCACCAAAGTCCAGGCCAATCGAATTCATCAACACCAACGGCCTCACATCCCTATGCTCCGTTACAAAGTCCCACATTATCCGTATCAAATACATCGAGGTAAACTATTTTTGCTTTTTCTTCATGTGCACGATCTTAATGCGATTAATTTTTGAATTCATTTCAACAATAGATACACGGACCTGGGTGATATATTCTCAGAAATCGGTGATATAAGCGTATCAGCGCCGCCTTCAGCAACTTCAAATAAATTGAGTAGACAAATTCCAACGCCGACATCGGCAAGTAGCATTGCAATACCACGACCGCCTTCACGACGATCGGATACAACTGGACGAGAGCGCATAAGTCCATCAAACATATCGCGTGCAGATAGCGTGGGCAGTTTGGAGTTCCGAACAGCTAGCATTGGATTTGGTTCATCGCGTGGACCATCGCCGTTAACAATTGGCATCACCGACACAATTCCATTGGCTGTTGCATTTCATGAAATCGTTCACGCCTTCTTTAAGTTGGTCTTCAAAGACAATATGACCTTTGAAAGTGTTTTTTTTTTCTCTTTTTTAATTTGAAATGTTTTTTTTTTTTTTCATTTTTGTAGAGGAAGTGATGAGACACGCTGCCAAGTCAAGATGAATGGTGATATGATGCTAAGTTTTCCAGCTGGAATTGTCAGTGTATTCGCAAATAATCCGAATCCGGCTCAATTGGGCTTCCGTATCAAGAATATGCAGAATCTCGAACAATTAATGCCTAACAAGCAATTAGTATCAATGTAAATACCAAAGCGGCACCGCCTCAAAACCACAAATGTCCAATGTGTTCACTGTTTTCTGTTTCTTTACAGTGATAAATTGCAGTCGACAAGTTTTAGCACATTGCTTGAATTTAATATGCCCGCTTTAACCGCATTGTTACGACGTCAATCGGAGCAGAATCCAACCGCTTCCTATTTCAATGTTGACATTTTGAAATATCAGGTGAAAGCAAAAACGGGCGCATCATCATGTCCATTCCAACTAGTTTCATACTGGAAATGTGAACCGACGCATACCGACATCAAAATCGATTACAAATACAATAATCATGCGATGGCAGCTGCATCACCACTACTAAATGTTGCCTTATCAGTTCCGGTTGATGGTGGTGTTAAGAATGTACAGTCGAAACCGCATTCGGCTTGGATGGGTGAATCGAATCGTCTAGTTTGGAATTTCACCGACATTTCACAACATTCGGACAACAGTGGTGTTGGTACGCTTCGAGCTCGATTGGAAGTCGCCAATGGACCATCGACACCGTCGCTAATTAGTACACAATTTAATTGCGAAGGAACCACATTGTCTGGAATTGAGTTTGAGCTTGTCGGAAGCGGTTATCGTCTGTCTTTAGTTAAACGACGCTTTGTTTCTGGTAAATTATTTTGGTGATAGTAATTTGAAAATGATCGAAATTAATTGGATTTTATTTACAGGAAAATATATATGCGAAGGAGATGGCATTCGAAGTATTAAAACACCAACGCCGCCAAATGCAAGTTCACCCAATCCGTATAGTCGATCCTCATAAGCATTGTGTCCAAACAAAATGAAACGCATTTTCCGAATCTAGCATTCGATTTTATGTTAGTTACAATTGGTTTTGGCTTTATTGCTGCTAAGTGTAAAAAAAATGTGTTATACTAATTATTATTATATGAATTTAATGTCTAAGCATACATTTGCCGCCCAGTATGTCGCCCGCTACGCATTCAAACGTAGATCGTGAAAATTGTTTTCGTTTTATATCAGAAAAAATGATGAAAAAAGAGAAAAAATATGTATAATTTTGTTGAATTGTTCGTCTTATTTCATTGAAATGGTTATTATCTGTAGTTGGAAAACGGCATGTTAAAGTCTATATATTAATTGAGAATAAACACGAAATCAGAAGAATTCGAACTATGAAATCATATTCAATTAAACATAACGAATCTTCAGATTTTTTCCCTTTCTTTGCATTTAGGTATATTAAGTATATTTAGTTGAACTGTACAATTCTAATCTTTTTATTGCAGAAAAAAAACACACACCCATACACATTTATATGTTTGCAAACTCTACTAAAAATAATTTAATTATATTATTTGATGTAGTAGAAATCACTATAATTATTAAAAGATTATTAAAAACAGACATTCAAATTAATGCGAAAAAAGCTTTTTTTTTACCTCTAAATTTTTAAAATATAAACAACATTTTCGCTGATATTGGAACAATGGGTATTTGACAAATGTTACACTGGAAAGTCCCATATCGGACCAGTTCTTAATGGAAAGTTTTGACATATTTGACACTTTGAGGTTATGTATTCATTGTAAACAAATGTATTCAGTTGTTTTTTTGGTAATATCAAAATCGAAAAAGTTTTATTTAAAAACACAAAGAATTGCTTGAAGTGCAAGCATTGAAAATGAGCCCAGCAACAACCCAAAAACCGTTTGCTCATTCCGAAGCATACAAAATCAATGGAATTCATACCGAAATACTATTGCACAAATTCACCAATAAATACTTGCTGATCATCACACAATACGAAAAGGTGAACAACGTCTTCATTGCGTGCAATGATGTTGCACTTACTGGTATCGTTCAAAATCGTTCGTTAAATGTGAAACATCAATTTGGTGTGATCACCGATGAAGTGGAATGCGGCGTTCGATTTTTCTTGACAAATATGCAATTACCGAACTTCGATAAAGATATGGATGTTGTCGTTTGTTTGGGCTTAAAAGAGTACAATGGAACGATACTGAGACAAATTGCAAGCGTTCTAAGTCGATTGGGACAAACGAGTTGAGTAAGTAGACCAAAAATTCCAAACACAAATAAGACGTCAATATTAATTTGTTTACATTTTATTACGCAGGGAATTACCAATGTAACACGGAACTCTCAAGGTCAACGTAAATCGATGGTCACTTTACACCATAAAACTTGTTGTGAACCATCGAGTTCGGTGGAAGAAAAAATATGTTAATTCTTCTTTTTAAGTTACACTTCTTATATCCATTTGAAATTAAAATGCTAATAAATGCAAATACTATACTTCCGTAAATGTTTTAATCTGATTGGTTAATTTGCTTTAGTACGTGCGCCACTTCCGAATAATAAAGAATGTAGACAAAAAGAAACACGTTATTTCGTTCATACCAAAGCATAAAAAATGTTACGTCACTTTAACATGTGTTTCGGGCACACACCAATCAATCAATCAAGGTGAAATCTATGAGTTTATAACGGTCCATTGTATATGTTGTATTCTTCGGATTACCACGCTTATGTCTTGCGATGGTATGAGATTAGGTTCGGTATATAAAGAGAACCATCATTTGTTTCAGCATCAAATCCAATCTAACTTTTCGACTAGTTAGAATATACCCATATAAAGACCAATTTTTATTCATTCGTGCTTTCAATCGAGTTTTAAAATGTTTAAGGTAAGTTTAAGTGATACAACACCTATTCGACATGTGAGAATTTATAAAAAAAAATCGTGGAAAATAAATTATTATTCCGTTTAAATAGTGGCGTTGCATCATTGTTTTGCTCATGTTGGTTGCCGTAGCATATTCTCAACGGGGATTGTTTGGCCGAAGACGTTATGGTAGATTCGGTAGATATGGTGGATACGGTGGATACGGTAAAAAAAAAACAAAAGTATGATTGTGAAACAACTAATTGTAAAATGAAATCTGTTAATAATAGGTGCCGTACCAGTAATACCAGTAGTGCCAGTCGTGCCTTATGCACCATTCCGCCCGGGATTCTTTGGCTAACGCGCATTTGGAAATGATAAATTCAAGCAATTGTAAACTAAGTTGTAAACATATTGTACATATACATTATATGTGATAGATATAAATTATGTTAATTTTAATTGAAATAAATATAATATAAAGAAAAATTAGGTAAAAATCATTTTAAAATAAGAGTCCTTTTTTGGATTTATTGTGAATATTGTTTACAAACAGTTGTCTTTTTGATGATATTATAAAAATGCAAAATTTTTGAATGAAGCCGTGAAAAACCTTAATAAAACTACTCTATTGAATTTTCATGTCAAAAAAGGGAGGAAATTGTTAATCATCCAAGATATGGGCTGAGTCCACCGTTTCCTCCATAATAGGTGCTGCCACCGCCATTATTTCTGCGATAATATCCTGGTGCTGAAAATTGGAAAGAATATTTTGCTTCAAATATCCTTAAATATGAACTTTATCACTCACAAGGTCTTGCTCCAAGTCCATTATAGAGAATTTCACTTATAGTAGGATAATAACCGGGGACAACTATAAAAAAAATGCACATTCACAGATATATTTTTTTTTTTTTTTCATTTTAAGTTTAAACTTACATTGAGGTTCTGCAACTGGTTCAGGGACTGGAACTGCAGAGCTCATAGCAATCAACGCAAGAAAACATAAAGCAATCACAAGCTGTTATTGAAAATTTTAATTATTATAAATTTCTTCAATTCTAAAAAGAATACAATCGAATAGAACACTAACTTTTGCCATTTTTAATTTTCAAATTGAAAAAAGAAATCACTGTAATTCAGATGGCTTCTGATTCATAACTGATGAAATGCTGATTATTCGTTGAATATTTATACCTTTTATTCATACTCTGTAAAACAACGTAGTTATTTATAACAAAGAGTTAATAAATTTTTACAATCAATGCACCGTCAAAAACCTTTTAACGAACGTCTGGATAATTATCACGCGAGAAATACGTATTTAAATGTGTCCAAATCGGAACAAATATGCAGGTTAATTAATACTCATATGCCGACTTATCAGGACAAGGATCATTTGACGCAATTTCACAATCCTGTTTCTGTTAAGGCACAATTTTTCTCTATAGATCATTTAAATTTTAAAACTTGAAGTTTTCTTTTCATTCTGCTTTTATGCCGACATAAAATTTACAAACAAAGAAAAAACTGATAAAACAAATGATGCGCAATGAAAAGAATTAAATAAATTTAAAAACCATGTTCCACAATGCTGCTGTGTAGGGCTCATAAAAGTGAATAAGTCAAGAGTTTCACAGGTGTTTGCCTGAAATAAGCATTTGGGTGTAATTAAATGCGTTTTAAAGTTGAATACAAATCAATGCTTATTAATTTGGTAACACGTTGCTTATATTGTTTATAACACCAAGTGTATTATACACATAGCTATCATCATGAAGATAGAGTTATCTGCATTGTAATTTGTTTTGCATATACACAACTTTATATGCATGAATATATTATAAAAAATGTGTTTATACTGCAAATACGAAATACTTCTTAAAATAGACATCATCAATTAAATTTTTAATACATTTGTTACTATTGAATATGTAAGGCTATTATTATTTAAAGCAATCGATGATTTAATTGCTTCAATCAACATACTCAAGACTGAACAGAAGAACTTGAAACTTGAAGAAGATCGATGATATTCAGGTTTTTTCCATTTAGTACGTTGAAATTTTGAAATGATTTAAAACATTTGGGGTATTCATCTTACACGTGCCATGCAATTCTGAACGAAGTTCTTTTGAAGAAAAAATGAATCAATGCGGTGAATTAATTGCAATTTTATTTCAACATTATGTCATTATCAGTATTTTTGCTACGAATTCAAAAGGTTAATTTGGAATGAACAGGAATCCTGTATATGCACATGTGGCATCGAAAAAATACAGAAAACATATTAAACATTTCTGTTTTTATTGATTTTTAGAACTAAACACTTATTTGTTATATATTGATCGTCTTTTGTTGTAACTGTCGGATACCGTACAAATATTATTCTATAGGGATATATTTAATATGACGATATTCACACTCGGGTATAACTTCTGTAATTGGACTGGAAAAATACTATTATTGTTCATTGTAAAGTTTTACTTCAGTATGATTCATACAATGATTTTTGGATAGAATAGATCCGTAAGATCTCCGCAAGATCCGGATCCAAGCGTGCGTACGTAGCCGCATGATACATACATTCCTAACTCCGTAATGCTATGGCATGCGAATCAAAGAAGGGGAAATAAGAATAACGAATTTGCGTGCGTATTATATATGTATGCATCATGCGGCAGCGTACGCACGCTTGGATCTGGATCTTGCGGAGATCCTACGCATCTATCCTATCTAAAAATGAAGGCCTAAGAAGAAAACAATAACATACAGAATATTCTGCAAAAAGACGAATACAAATTTATGTGAGCAAAAACCAAATATACAAACAGACAGCGCAAAAGTAAAACAGCCTACTTACATGTGTTTCTTATGTAAGTAGG